TGGGATACTAGAGGTGCAGAGCCTCTGATGAAGGCAGGTGGGCCAAGGAAGGACAGAGGTCCTTGAAGTTCTCCGAGGGTGGTGGGAGGGGAGAAGGAACAGTTAGGTCCCCCATCTCATCAGGGACAACCGCAGGGAAACAAGACTGAGTCACAGCGAGGGGAGGATGAGGAAGGGCCCCTGAGCTGACCCCTCAGATCAGAGCCCATGCTTTTGGGTGACCTACTTGAGTGAGTTGAGGGGCTTGGGTGTGGATGGACAGGGGAATGGCGTGGTAGACAGCCCTCCAGACCTCAGCCTGACCCCTGACCCTCTAAGGGTGCCCAAGGCTACTCCATCAAGTCCAGAGTCATGATTCTGAATTCTAACCACACCCAACGGGCCCTTGACTCCCCAGCAGAGGGACTGGGTCTGTGCCAGCAGGCTGCTGCTGGGAGCCTTCTGTTGGTCCTGCCTCAAAACACTGAATAAGCTCCTTCCACCACACACCTGGTGCTCACCATTCAGCACCTGATGTGTGTCCCTAGGTCTTCACAAGCATGCGAAGATGTGGACCAGACCATCCTCACTGGGCCTGTGAGGCACTGAGCTCAGGGAGGTGGTCAGGTGCCCAGGATCACAGAATGGCCAAGCCAGGATCCAAACCCCGAATTCCACACACTGAGTGCAGCACTCCCATCCACTCATCCACAGCTGCACCCCAGGGATTCCTGCCAACACTGTAGCCTTGTTCTTGAGCCTCAGGAGTTCCTTTTCTTCCAGACCCTTTGGGCACTACTTTTCAAACCTCTATTTGCTTCAGAATTGCCTGCGGAGCATATTTAAAATGCAGATACCCAGAGTTCACCCCTAGAGATTCTGACTATGGATGTCTAGGGTGGGGCCCAGAACTCTGCAGTCTTAGCAAACCCCAAATAATCCCATAGCAGGAGGTTCCTGACGCACCTGCCCTGAGAAATCTGCTCTACTCAGCATCTCAGAGGTATTTGTCCCAATACCTTTCCCATGGCAGGGGTCCATAAACATCTGAGGGATGAATGAGGGCCCTTTATCCCCGATTTTGTCACTCAGGTTCCTCTCCTCTGGGTTTAAAATGTTAAAAGGGTGATTGGAGACTTTTATAGACTGCAGATCGGCTGCTTCTGGGTTCCACTCCACAGGCAACGGATAAGTGAGGAGACAGGGCTTGAGGTCTTGGCAGGGGCCTGGGGCTGCCCCTATGTTTCCAGAGCAGGATGCTACTTTTGGCTGAAGTCACAAAATGGAGCCTGGCCTGCAAGGCAGCCTTTCTCAATCTGTGGCCCATCGCTTTAGAATCACCTGTGTTATTTGATGAGAACACAGAATCCTGCCCCCCAACCCTGGTTTATTGAATTAGAATGGGGGAGAAGGCCCAGGGCCTAGAAATCTTCATTCTTAGCCAGTACCCCAGTCAATTCTGATGCACATGAATATTTGCGAAATCCTGCTGTTACAACATGGACTTTGGAGTGGGACTTGGGGTTAAATCCAAGTTCTGTCATGAAGTAGCTGTGTAGTCTGAAACTAATTCCTAACCTCTGTGAAACTCACCTTCCTCCTCTATAAGAAATGGGGCACTATGCCTGACTATTGGTCTTGCTGTGAGGGTTCATCGAACCATGAGGAAATTGATGCATCTGGCACCTAGGAACTGCTGTGGGGGCACGCCCAGCTAGTGGTAAAGAGGGGTGCCCAAATAAAAGCCTTCCCTGGGAATTGAGAACATTGAGTATTACTCACCTCATGGCAAACACTGAGCTGCTTTAAAACAATTCTGGCCTTGCATTTCCTCTGGGGAGAGCTCAATGAAGCTTTTCAAGATGACTAGGTCCATTCCCATCCTTAGGTGTGAGCCATTTCAAGTTGGGGTCAGGTGTTGAAAATAAAATACCATTCCATTTTGGCTCGATGCCCACTAGCCAAACCTTCCCACTCCCACCCCCACCCCATTTCCTGTCCACCTTACACTCCCAAACCCCTCGCGCTGAAGAGCAAGGAAGGGCCTCTTGGCAAACCACAGGTCTGCCCAAGTCCCTGGGACCCTTAGCCTCGTAGCTGCTGCCGGGCGTGGGGAGTCTCCCAGTCCTCCCTTTTCTCGGCTCCCCCAGTCTGGCCAATCCAAGGAAATGCCAAAGCTTTTGAAAAGCTTCAGCCATTCATAACGGTTCAGTTCCTTCCGGAAATGTTCCCCAGCTCTGCTGAAAGCCTGCCAGGCGACTTGGTGACGTCCTGCTCTCAGCCCACACAATGGGCAAGGTAGAACAATGCTGAGTAGGAAAAACATCCCGCCAGTCCATAGGCTCACATCCTCCTGGGACCCCACCCCATGGCTCCCAGAGCTGGAGGGAGTGGGGAGGAGCAGCTGTGGACAAGGGAAGGGGAGTGGGAGCCCAACCAAACCCCCGCAGCTTGGCTGCGTTCTGAACCAGCTGGGAGAGCCAGATTAGAAGTCAGATCTGCTTATTCTGGCTCCTCTGCCAGCCCCAGGGCCACCGCTCAACAGCCTTGACACTGGAACAGATGAAAACCTGAGCTGGCAAACAAAGCAGTTCAGAGGGCAGTGAGGCAGGTAGGCATATCTGGTGGGAGGCCTGGCTTTGTCCCTTAACTGACAAAGTGCAAGGTGTTCAACCTCCTAGGGCCTCAGTTTCCATATCCAGGAATAGTGTAATTGTACCTGTCCTGTCTATCTCACAGGATGTTTTCAGAGCAAAATGGGCTACCGTGCTTGAAAATGCCTCAGTAATTATAAAGAAATTACTTGGTCACCAACTGGCGTCATTATCCTAGCAAAGCAGTTGGGGGGTGGGGCGGCCCACTGGGGGAGATCACAATCAAGAGGGCATGGCAGTCTTCAACCCAGGCAATTTACAACCTAAACCCAAGGAAGAGACCTAATAGACGCTGCAAAACCTGAGAGTAGACTACAGGCTATTAGAATTTCTAGGTTGTCAGGCTTGGGGGTAGGGCTGGAGGTGGGAAGGTGTTGGAGGTCTTACCTAGAACATTTTCATACTAAATCGTTTTTACTTAGGTTGTGTATTTTGGGGTGATGGAGGTTATCAGGGACTAAGGCCCCCATGTCTCCCTACTTGGTGCCAATAGAACTGAGCCCAGAGTGTTCATACGGTTGATCAAGGAAGGCTTCCTGGAGGAGGGTTTGAGGCATGCTGGAAAAAAGAAAGGGAAATGTCTCATACCAAGCACTAAAGTGGAGACAGGCTGATGTTATTGGGAGCAGGGAGGATACTCCGAGGGTATCTGGGGCCTCTCATCATTACAGACAGGAGCACTGAGTTTCAGCGAGGGGCAGGCACCTACCTGGCCAAGGCCCACAGACTCAGTCAGCGAGTCTGACTCAGCTGGAGCTAGAAGGAGGTGGATGGGTTAGTCCAGGCAGAGGGAACATGGACAGACAGAGGAGCAAAGGCTGGAGGGAGGAGGCACATTCGGGGAGAGGTGGGTCCTTGGTTTAGGGGAAGAGTGCGGTGTGCAGTGGGTGGTCAGACAGGCTGGAGAAAGGGGTCAAGGCTGGGCACGAAGGCCACGGGCAGCTCGCTAGGGAGGGACGCAGCCCCGTAGCAATGACAGTGTGACAGTCAGTGAGCTATCCCGAAGCCCCTTGCAGCCCCAGGCCATATTCTTTTGAGGACCCTGGGGGTGAAGATGGGGGAGTCGAGTTTGGAAACACCTACAAATAAGACCATGTGACTATAAATGAGGTCTGAACCCAAGGCAGAGGGGCAGGGAAGAGAAGGACTGGGGAAGGGGGGGTTCTAGTAGGCTCCTAATGTATCAGATGTTTCATTTTGATGTTAATTCATTTCATTCCCAACTATGAACTGAGTCTAGAGGGTAGAGGTCCGAACTCACTTTCTGAGGCTTGCGAGACTGATGAACCGCAGAGGCTGAGGAAGGGGAGGGGAGGTAGGCGTAAAGAGCCACCCGGGGCCAGCTGCTCACACCCTCTGGAATTATCGCTGGGCATCTGTGAAATACAGATAGCAGAGCCCACTTCCAAGCCATTATTATTTCTGCAATCAGCTTATCTATCCCTGACCAGACTGTGAGTTCCTTGAGGAGAGAACACTGTTTACTTATTTATGAATCTTTAGTGTTTCACAGAGTGGTTTGGATTTTTAATAAATGTCTGTTAAATTAAAAAAATGTTTTTTTGATTTAAATAACGTTTCTTAAGCTCACAGTACTTTGCCTAACACATATATGTTAGAATAACGGACATCAGAATTCTGAACTCTGGTGGCAGTTTGGGAAAATGGGTGGCTCCCCATAGACAGAGGGGTTTATTCACTCCTGGGCCCACATACAAACCTTCACCCCTCTAGTGAGTGATGCCTGCTTCCACCCTGGACAGACGACATAACGAACACTTACGTGGTGCCTTCAATGTGGCCAATAAATTCTGCGACTTTTTCGTGTGTTCCCTCCACACTAACCTCAACTTAATCTCCACACTAATCCTACGACCCCCTCATTTCACAGAAGGGTAAACTGAGGCACAGAGTAGCCATGTTATATGGTCTCACAACTAGGAAGTGGCGAAGCCAGGACTCCAGCCTAGGCGGCCTGGGATTAGACATTTGCTCTTGACCCCCCACTGTACTGCCTCTACTGCCTGTGGATCCCGACGACTCACTCCCCCTCCGCTGGAACTGTGAGGCTGGGCAGCCAATTCCATTGCCAAGTGCAGCACTCAGCAGGAGGTGTAGGTCACAGGCGGCTGAAGGCATCTGCCCTTGCAGAAAACAGTCCTGGGCCCAAACCCCCGGGCTTATCCCCTCAGGCACCAACCTGGGACAAGGCCCAAAGCAGAGCATGGAGTCTTGGCTCTCTCCTCCACTCCCACCATAACACCCAGAGTTGACTTCTGGCCCTAAACGCAGCAGCATCCGGAATACAGCAGGGAGGGTGCAGGGCACCCCTCCTACAGCCCAGGTAGGTTCACAGACACACACAAATCAAACTCTCACTCCACTTTTTATATACATATATATGTATATACACATATGCGCGCGCACACGCCCACCCACACTCCTGAGGCCTGGAGAAGGCCTCTGTCTTTGGCATCAATGTGTCAAATTCAGCTTTTCTGCACGAGACTGCCTGCTCCTTTCCGTACATCATGAATTAAATATATCATCTGCTTTTGTGCTGAATCACAGGACATTCACAGTACAATGGGGGAGAAGTGGAGGGACTCCTGGGGAGGCTGAGACCCTCCAGGACTGCTCCTCAGGCTGAGGGAGTTGGGCTGGGTAGGAGGCTGGGCCTGGCCTCCCCTTGGCCTTGCCATTCAAGGTTCAGCCAAGTGTTGAGGCACCCTTGGGAGTATAACAGGCATGATCCGTAGGGGTGCTGATGAGTGCTTTCTTCAGGGGCCGCAGCCCCACATCCCCCCGGCCCCCTGGGGTGGGGCTCTCAGGATCAAAGCCTGTCCTGTCCCATTCTCTACTTCGGTCTGTGGCATGTACACTCTCCCTCTTGTGACCACCCTTTGTGGAGGCTGAGAAGGAGGGAACGGGGAGGCTACACCAGTCCCAAGGAGCTCAGGTCAGTCTGGCACCAGGGTCAAGGTGACCCTGCATATCTGGGTGCCGTCCTCAGGGCCCTGGTCCAGGGCGAGCTTATCAGCGCTCAGGTGTGACAAGCAGGAGCCGTTCTCAGAAAGGGTGGACAGGTAGGAGCTTGGGTTAGGGCTCCAAGGGCAGTGAGTGCTCTACCACCTACCAACTTAAGGCAATACCATTCCGACTGGGAAAATGGGTGGGGCCAGCTGAGGTGGCAGGAGTACCGCTGGCGGTACCAGGCTACCTCTGGACTCAGCCGAGCATTCAGCAGCATATGGGGCCTCCGGCGAGGAGTGGGGGATGGAAACAGGGCGGGGTGATGAGAAGGGGGGATGGGGCTGCTATCCCCCCTGCTGCTCCAGGGACACCCGCCCCTCAGGCAGAGGGTGGGCTTTGGCACACACATTGGCACCCAGGATTCCAGGGTCCTGGAAAAGGTGCCATGTCACTTCCTGCTCACAGAGGGAAAGGTGAACGACGTGTGGGCTCCAAGCGGCCTGTAAGGGGCTCTGCCAGAGTCGTGAGGCAGGCGGGCCCCCAGGGGAGGCATGGTGGTGCCCGTGTCCAGGGTACAGCGCGCAGTCCAGCGGCTGGGTTCTCCTGTCCCTGTCGGTTCCACCCTGATGCCCAAGGACTTCGGGGTGGAAATGGGTCCGAAATCCCTCCCTACCCCCTCCCCTCCTCCCAGGGAAGCAGCTCAGGGCCAGCCCGGGGCGGGCGATGGAGGGGTTGGTGTCCGGGCCAAGTCCACCTGGGAGGCACGTGGGAAGCAGGGTCAGGACGCAGCTGTGGCCAGCAGGGCTGCAAGGGGTCTGGAGCTGGCCTTAGCCCTCATCCTTCAGTCCTCCGAGGGCCGCGCAGGCCACACCCTGCCCGCAGTTGCACTCAGTGCGACCTCTCCTCCTTTGGACTGAAGCAGGGGGGGCATGGCTCAGAAGATGCTTTGTCGCCGGCTCTTCCCTCGTCCTGGAGCACAGAGGAGAAGACGGGGACTGCAGGGAGGAGGCTGGGCTGGAGGGTGCCCAAGATCAGGAGGGAAGGGTACGCTCCAGCACTGCTCACACAGTGAGCAACGGCATATGCTCAGGGGCCGGTCAGTCCTGGGTTCGAATCCCATCTCTGCCACTTACGAGCTGCGTGAAACTGTGACTGAATCTCTCAGAGCCTCAGTTGCATTGACTGTGAAATGGGGAGCATTAACAGTACCAACTTCAAGGGGTGTCTTAAGGGTTAAAGGAGATAATGCATGGCAAGTTCCTGACACTTCCAAGGCCATCAGCTGTTCTAGAGACAAAGTACATTTCTCCAGGGTGAAGGCTAGTTAGACAGCTCAGAGTTTGCGGAGAACGTGCACCTTTGTCAGGGCTATGTCAGATGCAGCCCCGTTCTGTCTGGGTGGGGGTTGAGGAGGGAGACACTGGAGGAGGAAGGCTGGGCAGGAGACAGGGAAACCTGCTCCCCATGGGCCCCCGGAAAGGAGCTAATGTCAGCGAGGCCACTGCTGGGCCCCACCTCTGTTCCTTGAGAGCGAGGAGCAGCCTGTGCCGGTCTCCTCTCATAAGGGAGGTACAAGCCCTTACCTGGCTGTTGAAAGCCCAGGCCCCGGTAGCCTGGGTCCTTTTGGAGCTGGATCTCCTTCAGGGAGAAGATGGAGGCAGCTGGGAAGAGACAGGAGAAAGGCAGAGAGAGAGCTGGGTGGAGCTGGTTATGCTCCTGGAGCCTGCGGCCCCCACACACACTGAGTGCATAGAGCTCGGAGCACCCCCTGGTTGGGGAACCCCTTCAGTTAGGACTGGCCCAGGAGCACCTAACTGGGCATTTCAGGCAGTGTCTCAGATTCACAGAGGTTGGCCCCTTAGTCACATCTGAGAACCCAAGATGGAAAACCATGTGCTCCATGCTGCTCAGCTGGCCGGAGGGCCTCTAGCCTCTTTATGCTAGTTTTTCAAAGCACACCTATTGCCCCCTTTCCTGGTTCCGGGGTGGCCCTGCCCCCTCCCCGAACCTCCCCCAACACTCACTGTCTTCGAGCTGGTGCACACGCTCTCCCAGAGACCGGAAGTATGGGTGGTTCAGGGCTGCCTCTGCTGACATGCGACGCCTGGATTCATACTGAAAGGCACAGCGAGGCTATCGGGCCCTGGCTAGGGGGCTGCGGGTACCCCTCTGGGCAGTGTCATTCCTATCCTAAATTATGTGGCTACGATGAGAGGGACCTGAGTCTAAGCCTGGAAGCCCCTGGGGTCAGGTGCCAGCTCCCACCTCCAACCCAACCTAAGGCCGTCTCAGGGCTCAGGCTCCCACCAGGAGAAAAACCAGAAACAGGACTTTGGGGTGACCTCCTCTCGGGATAGAAATGCAGATGCTAAAGCAACCACAATCACAACATTGCTAACCGCAATATTAATACGTAATACCAACAGGTACCCTCTATTGTGTGTTTACTTTAAGACAGGCACCATATTAAGTGTGTTTCATGATCTCAATTTACCCTCACGGCCATCTCATAAAATATGAATGATGAATTCTACTTTGCAATTGAGGAAACAGGCACAGAAAAGTTCTGTAACTTCCCCAAAGCTACACAGCTAGTAAGCGGGTTTGAGCTGCGGTTTGAGTTCAGAGTGCCTCCACTCGAAGTCAGTGGGGAAACCAGTGCTCCTCTTGGTATTGGGGTGGGGGGGAGAGTGACAGGGACTGGCAGCTTGGACTGTGAGCACAGAGGTGGGCCGAGGACGAGGGTGAGGTCTTGGGGCTTCAGCTGTCTTTGGCTGCCTGTCCCTGGGCCCAGCTGGAGACACACTCACCAGGAGGAGGCTGGTCAGGAGGTTGATGCCATCCGTGTCCAACCTGCAGGAGAAAGAAGCTGGCAGAGGCCTGGCCTGGGTTGGGTGGGGAGGGTGGGGCGTGTGGCCCCTTCCAAGAGTGACAGCCAGGACCACAAGCAGGAGAGGAGGTGGGAGGCAGGGCTACCTGGGAGCGTGGCTGATGAGAGGCTGGGGGAGGTACCGAGGGAAGCTGTAGGAGCGGAACTCTGACAAGGCCGTTACTCCAGGCCACGTCTCTTCTGTAGGAGTCCCTGGGGAGACAAGAGGGGGGTGGGGAGGGGGCGGTGAGGAACCAGGGCCAAGGGCGACTCGGAGGGGTGCAATATAGGGGGTGGAAGCAGAGAACGGCCAAGGCTAAAGGGGTCCTGGGCCTGTGTGAGCAGGCGAAGCCACTCTTCCCAGTCCCTTTATGCGCCCGGGCTGGACGGAGTTCTGGCGTCCCCTGGTGGTTGTATTGGGGGAGCGCAGGAGACTGACCGAGGAGTCGGAAGATGAGGTGCAGCTCCTCCTTGACCGTGGAGCCGGGGAAGAGGGGCCTCCCTGTGGCCATCTCGTAGTGGATGCAGCCCACGCCCCTGCGGGAGCAATGGGCAGGGGCGCGTCAGACTGTGCCTCCTCGCGCCCGGCTTCCGAGGGCTGCTCCACCACGATGCCCTGCCCCACAGTGGCTCAGATAGGTCCTGGCGCTCTGGCGGGAGACGCCTAATATCATCCAGCCTCTGGGGACTTCTCTGGGCTCTGGGACACTCTGACCTCTCCCCTTTCACTCTGTAGGGTTTGGGTCTGCACAGACAGCACCCATGTGACAGTTCCTTAGGTAGAGTTGTCACAAACTTTTCCCATGTTGTGTGCCCCCACTGGAAGAGAAAATTCATGAATCCATTTTCCTAAAGAACCCTGGGGCCCAGGGCCCAGTGGCCTTTCATTGGAAACCTGTTAACTTTAAAACTGAGCTGATTTTCTCATTCTCCAGTAGATCATATGCATGTTAATTTAAACATTAAAAAATATATCCTTTCCAAAATTTTCAGTAGAACTGATGCTTGGGGAAGAGTCACCATATTTACTGTAGGGTCCCTCCTGTACCCCCTGGTAACTCCCTATGGACCCCTGGGGGAATAGTTCAGAAACAGCTTGGAGGGTCTACTTAGAGCCAGGGAAACCCCAATGTGGTCCAGACTTCATCCTTTAACATCCAATTCAATAGGATGCCACAGGGCTTGCAGTTAAAGGAAGCCGGGCAGTTCTTCCTAGAGACCCCTGGAGCAGCGAAAGGGCGCTGCCGTCGCGCCCACAGCGTTCACTCACCACATATCGATGGGGGTGGAGTACTCTGTGGACCCCAGCAGCACATCAGGGGGCCTGTACCACAGAGTCACCACCTCGTTGGAGTAGGTCTTCGTGGGCACTGACTTGGCCCGGGCCAGTCCTAGAAACAGACACGCCACTGAACTTCTTCCCATCACGGCACCCGCATTCCAAGGAGACTGCTGGCCCCCCACCTGGCCCTGGGGGCTCAGACCCTCACCAAAGTCAGCCAGCTTCAGCTCCCCTCTCTCGTTAATAAGCAGGTTCTGGGGTTTTAGGTCCCGATGTAGGATCTTGCGGCGGTGGCAGTAGGCAAGGCCCCGGAGCAGCTGGAACATGAAGATCTGGGGCAGGAGGGAGCAGCAGAAGGTGGGAACGTGTCCATCTGGGAGACCTGAGCATCTGCCCCCTGGCTGGGATGGGGATGGGTCAGGGACTGGGCAGGGGTGAGGGCCTGGAGAGCTACCTGGTTCTCCTGCCCACAATGCAGCCCCACCTTCGGCCCCATCCACCCCAGGGAACCTATCCAGAGGGAGGGACACCAGGTGTGCAGAAGGGCAGGAGGGAGAGTTCTCCAGCCCAGGAGCTTAGGGGACCAGGAAGGGCCAGGAAGCCCACCATTTAGGATATATGTGCTTGAGTCTCTGACAAACACCAGGAGAGGTCATTCATCCCTCTGACCTTCCCCAGAAGCCTCCTTTCATCCTTGCAGGTAATTCACGCTCTCATCTGAGAGATGGAAAAACTGATGCTCAATGTTAGGGGAGAGGGGGCGGTTTATATCAACAGCCAGACAGTGGCAGAGGGTGTGTGTCTGTATGGTGAGGTAAGGTCCTCCCTGAATGGCACTGCCCCTTCCCTCCCTCCTACATTTGAAGGTCTGAGCAACCTCAGCAGCCTTGACCCTGGTGGTGAGTGGGTTCCCACACTGGTTTTGAGAACAGGTGGATGCCAAGATCCGTGTGGAACTGAAGGTGGGGTCCCTGCCACAGAGGCCCTCACCTTGACATTGTGCATATTCATGAGGCTTCCACAGTGGTCCAGATACTGCTTCAGGTCACTGTCCTGGAATACAGCCTGGCTCAGCCCTGCCCTGCGCCCTGGCTGGAAGCCCCTCCCTGGGTAGGGCCCAAGCCCAGGTATGGGACAGGTCCCTGGTTCAAAGTTGCTCCTAGGCCGGGGCCCTTGGCCTATTCCTGCCTGAGAGCATCTGAGAACCCGATTGTAGAACAAGGCCTGGGGCACCCCCACCACGTCCCCTACCCCCAAACCCCCTACTACAAGGGGGAGAAGCTCCCAACTCACCAGGTACTCAAACACCAGTGTGAGGCACCGCTCCGTATGGATGAGGTCATGCAGGGTGACAATATTGGCGTGCTTTAGGTTCTTCAGGAGAGAAACTGTGGGGAGATCGGCCTGCCTAGGTCCCTGGTGCCCCACAAGCCCCACACACCCTCTCTTCCTGGCATCAGCCCAAGGAATCCCCGCTTCAGCAATGACCTCCGGTCCCCAGGCTCCCACCAGGGCTCGGGTCAATGAACCCCTCCTCCCAGGAGCCCTCAGGAGTGCAAGACCCTAGGATGCTGTACCCTCTCGGATGGCAGTGCAGGGTGCCCCCTCCTCGTGCTCCAGTCGGATCTCCTTCAGGGCCACGAGATTCTCTGTCAGTTTGCTGCGCCCCTTGAAGACTGTGGCATAGGTGCCCTGGGAACAAGAACCCCAGTAGCTCCAGCCCAACTCAGGTACTACTCTCCTCTGTCCAATGTTCCCCTTTGTGCCTCTGCTGGGGCTACGACTTTGGCTGGCAATGCACTTCCGGCTTCTTCTCTCTTCACTTGTCTGCGAAGCTCTCCCTAACTCCTTCTGGTCAGAGTGAGCTGTCCTTCCTCTAAGCCCTCAGCAGGCCAGGTGCCCCTCGACTGTGATACCAGTTTGTTCTTCCTGATGTTGATGTTTATGTAGGACTCCGCTTTGGGTTTCTGGAGGAAAAGGGCCCTCTTCCCCCTCTCTCTGAACCTCTGCCCACCCCCTGCCTTGAACACAAAGCCTGGTGCAGGGATAACAGAAAACAGCTAACAGATACACAGCATGTACTATGTCCAGGCATTGTCTACGTGCCGGACAAAAGCTTCTTATAGTAACCTATTCAGTCCTCACACACCCCTGTGAGGTAGAACAGTTACAATCTCCACTCGACAGAGGAAGAAACTGAGGCACAGAGAGGTTACACATAATGCACCCAAGTCCACAGATAGTAAATAGTAGAGTTGGGATTCGAACCCAGATAAGAAATACTTGCAGGAAAAAAAAAAAAATTCTGGATCCTGCCCAGAGTCCACAGGCCACTCTATCCTTATGCCCTCCTGCAGGACCCGGGCCCACTTCAACAGCTGCCAAAGGCTGGGCCCAACTGCCAGGCCAAGACCGTGTGCCTCTGTGGGGCAGGGGCAGTGAGAGGACCGATCCGGGAGGGCCGGGGAAGCCCCTGTCCCTCCTAACCATCCTGCCTGGCTGCCCTGAGAAGACCAAACCCAGCCTCTTACCTCCCCCAGTTTGTCCAATTTCACGTATGTTTCCAGTTTCCCAAAGCCGATATCTGACTGAGAGGAAGAAACATAGGGTCCTATGAGCTTGAAGAACCCAGCAGCCCCGGCACTACACCTCCCCCCTCCAGCCCCCAGGAAGGAAGGTAATGAGACCCCCACTGGGGAGAGGGAAAAACAGGGTAGCAGGGGTGAGGGCAGCCACAAATCCTTCCTCTTCTCTTCCCTCTATCTCACGGGAGTGGGAGTTCCTTCCTTCCCTGGCAGCGGAGGGTGTGGAGCCCAGGGCTGTGGCACCTGGGATTGCCTCATCACACCTTCATCACCTGTCTGTCTTGCTAACTACTAGCTCCTTGAGGGCAAGAACCGTTTCTTTTTCTCCATTGCTCCTCGACTGTCCAGTTCAGAACCCACCTCCACAACAGCATCTTTCATCAGCACACTTCCTATAGCTCAACGCTTAACAATACAGATTCCTGGGCCCCACCGCCCAGAGCGCCTGATTCTGGAGGTACCTGGAGTGGGGACCAGAGTTTGTGTTTTGGAAGATGCTCCCAAGGAAATATGATAGGCAGCCAGGACTGGGAAACACGTGCCAGCTAGTCTACTGATCTCATGTCAGTGGAGACCCTGGGACCCAGAGGGGACCTGGGGCTCAGCCCCAGCCCTGGTGGGACCCTTTCAGGAAATGAAGGTTGACCAATGACGTTGGGCTGTATGAACCTGACATGGCCAGCAGGTGGCGCCAGAGGCTTGGGAACCTCCCTGGAAACTGCTGCAGGCCTCAGCAGGGACAGGCCAAACCAGGACTGATGTGTCCATGCTGGGGAGAGGGCGTTCCACGCTGGTGAACCTGTGACCCTCTTGGGACTCACCAGGGATGCTCGGCGGGACATGCGACTGAGAGGTTTGGGCAGAACTGGACTCTCCAACTGTAGCTTCTGCAGGAATTCCTGGGGCAGGCGGATGTCCATGGGCAGAGAGAGCCTCTTACTGATGTCCTGCAGTGGCCGGGATGAGACAGGGACATCAGTGTTTGCTCCAGGGTAACTGGTGCTGTGGGACGCTTGCCTCTCACCCTGGGTCCGGCTTTCCCGCTAGGTAATTCCAGCAGGGGCCGAATCACGAGCTGGGACCCCAGGCTTCAAAGGTGTGCTTAGAAACATACGAGTATGGGAACACCCAGGGGTTGCTGTGTGACCTTTGGCAGTCCCTTCCCCTCTCTGGGCCTGTCTCACCATCTGCAGACACTACAATTCTGTAAGCTTATTTTTTCATATACTTGGATACATGTATATGAGAACATGTACTTGGGTACATGTCATGAGAACAATAGTCAAATTGTCTAGCCCTTGCTACGTACCTGGAACGTTCTAAGCCCTTGGCATATATTAACTCATCTAATCTTCATGATGACTATTTTAACACAAAGAGACTGTGGTACGTAGAGGTTGAGAAACCAGCTTAGGGTCACAGAGCTCATCAACGGCAGAGCTGGGACTTGAACCCATGAAGTCTGGCTCCAAGGCAACCCCTCTCCTGGGCACACATTGGTGGATGTGTCCTGCCGTGTCCACAGGGTACAGCCCGGAGCTCCTCACCTCCATGGAGAAGCGGCGCTGGTTCTGCCGCCGGTACTGCATGCCAGGGGACGGCTGCCCGGGCTCCTCTCCACTGTCTGAGGGGGAGAAGGTGCTGGACTCTGGCTGGGGGTCTCCGCCAAGAGGACCAAGCTGCAGGTCTGAGAGGGAGAGGCGTCAGCTCCTCCACCTCTGACCCCCGCAAGGCCAGCAGTGAAGGTGTGGTCCGGGAGGGCAAAGAGGTCTTTGGGGCAATGACGGGGTGGGGGGGCCCAGACCCCTCACCCTCATTGTGCTGGTTGTGGAGCTGGTTGAACTGCTCTGTGAACTCCGTCAAGGACTCCTCGATGGTCTCGGTGCGGGGCACGGATAGGGAGAAGCGACGCTTGAAGTTCTTCATCATGTTCATTGTCAGCAGGACCAGGCAGCGGGGTCCTGAGATGGGAGGTGTGAGAAGAGCAATGACAACAGGGCAATAGGGACTGGTCGACACCAAAAGTGCATTCCCGGTCTTGGTCTCCATTTTCCTATCAGCTCTGTTGTCCTGCACTTGGGACGCAGGGTTGAGTCTTTCCCACCAAAGTTTGAGCTCCCAGAGGGGAGGTTCGAACCCTCTACCTCCCTGTGAATCACCCCCAGGACTCCCTGCTCCTGGGGAGATATTCACAATTCAGACCAACCAGAACAGCAAAGTATTGCTCGTAATAGCAGTGTGATGTGCCAAGAGGATCCTGGAGGCCTCCCCAGGGCCAGATGGTGACCTTTTAGCTGCTGGAGGTCTAGCAAGTTCTGGAAGGAGGGCTGCACGGCAGGGAGGGCACCAGAACCAGGTGGCCCTTGGACCAGCAGCTCTTTATCAACTTGTGTGTAAGAGCTTGAACATGTCAGCAGCCAGTGAGCCTCCTTGATTGATGCCCACAGCGGAACATCAGCTGAACCTGAACCCTTGTGACACACAGTCTGGTCCAAACCCCATTTTATCCTAATACCAATACCTGGAGGTCCCTCTCTGGCTTGTCCTGGATCCCCAAGAAAAGAGAGGAAAGAGATGGAGGGGATGTGTGCATCCTAGCTGGCCCAGCCCCATCTCTCCAGCTAAAACGTAGGCAGTCAGGAGCAGCTGAAGGTCTCAGGGGAAACACAGAAGTTGGCAGGAAACAGAGAGGGCCCCTGGGGAGTTCTGAGCAGTCAGGGTGTCCACCGCAGAGAACACAAAGGCGGAGGGGCCGGCTGCTCTGCTCGCTCCCAGGGCCCTTACCCAGGCGGAAGGGATTCTCTCCCTGCAACTCCGCAGGCCTCTTGTCCTCTGGTCTCCCAAAGAGACTTGTGCAACTGCTCCTTCCCGAAGACCCTTCTCTGTCCTGCCTTGAAAACAGAGTGGGGCTGTCCTGCCCCTCCCCTCCCCCTCCATGGTTTCATAAACTCGCAAGGTGGCCGCCCCTCATCCTGCTCTGCCCACATCTCCCTCAGCTGCAGTGGGGCTGGGACCAAGAGGTCCTACAAGGGCCCCCACTGACACCTGCCCAGTAGGCATCAGGGGCCAGCCCTGTGATGGAAGGGGGCCGCCCTGCACCCTCCCCCGGCTTGTACCCACACACCAGGAACAACAGCTCATTCCCGGAGGATGCTCTCAGCCCTGTCACTGGCCAATACCCAGTTGCCAAGGCAACCAGGCCCCTCCTGAATCCTCCTGGTTTAAGGAATTATGGGTCAGTAACATGTCTGCTTTGCTTAATGATCACATCCTTCTGTCCTCAGCCAGTCTGGAATAGGTCCTTTCCCTGGACCTGAAGGCTGCTGACTGCCCCCAAATGCAGCTAAGCTGTGGCCCTCCAGCTCCCCTGAGCCCTGAGATTGGGCATGGCCAGGCCTTCCTTCCTCAGGCTGGCATCTCTCAGACTACAGGCCTCAGGTCTGCACTGCCAGCCAAGCCTACCTCTGCCAGTGGGCCCTGAAGTCTCACTCTGTTCAGCTCAACAAATGAGGACTGAGTACCTACTATGTGCCAGACATTGTTACAGTGGTGAGTATAGCGTGGACCCTATTTTCAAGGAACTCAGGGGCTGGTGAGAGCTCCTCTGATGAAAATGAGCTGAGAGCTCTTTTTTCCAGCTGCATTGGCAAAGCCCATTGGCTACAGACTTGCCCGATCTTCCATCCGAAGTTCATTCCTGCCAGCCAAACTCAGCCACTCCTCTGTGGCTTTAAACAATGTCTCGGGCTACCTGTCTGCAGGATTCTCAGACAGGAGCTCCCAGAGGGCAGCCACCTGCCTCACACTGTGTGTGCGCCCAGCCCAGAATGGAGGTAGTGTATGGGTTCCAGTGACAAGGGGACCTAGACATGCCCTACCTGTTGACTCATATTTCCCAGCATGAATGGAGACTGGAGATGTCCCCATTGTACCCATCAGTTGTTTACAATGTCAGCTGAATATCAGCATCATCACCAGGGAAAATGCAGTTTTAAAAAGCATCCCCAATGGAGCAAGGAGCAAGAAGCCACCAGCTTGGGTCTGGGGACATGGAGCCATGTTGGGGAAGCATCTGAGGTCCACATCAGGAACGGTAATCTGCACGGGTTTCTGGACTGCCCGACAGGCTGAGATGGGGACTCCTCCGAGCAGTGGAGGTGTCGGGGGGTTGCGGGGGTGGATGGCAGGCTGAGTGCAGCAGGAGACACCCCCTTTCCCCCAAAGGGGAGGCAATGTCTGCCCAGCACAAACTGAAGCCCAGGTTCGGTCATGGACATCCATGGGAGATCGGGGGAGCCAGGCACTTGGGTCCCTGAGGTCTGAGGTCTGAGCTCTGCCAAGAGGGGCCAGTCACATCTCCTAAAGACAGGGCTCCCCCAGAAAGCCACCTTGTAGTCTGGGACTTATGGGATGGATGGTTTGTGGCTCAGGAATCCACCAGTAGCTGCCATAAATCTCACGCCTTTGCTCTTTCCTGAGGGTGAGCCTTCTGGGAGAGAGACTGCCAATTTCTACAAGGCAAAGGAGACCTAGCCCTGAGCACCTGCTCTCCTCACGTTCCGTTAGGAGCAAGGAGCCACCAGCTTGGGTCTGGGGTGGGGCGGAAAGGGAGGGTGAAACTGGGAACAGCTGACTAGAGCAGGAATGTGGGGCCAAGTGATGCAGAGGGATGGGGACCAGCTGTTCTCCACTGGCCTGAGAAGAGACCAAGAGGAAGTGGCTGTCACTGTAGCAGGAATGGTGAAGGTCAGATGTAGGGACGGACTTCCTGATGGTGACAGGGAAGCAGGTGGCAGGGGTGGTGACCATAGCAGAGAGTGGATGCCTCTCTCTGCTGGGGACAATCAGGGCATTGAACCCGGCAGGGTCTTGGGTGTGTCAGGGCAGACTGGGCAGTGAATGGTCTGTTGTTCCCTAGCTCAAGACACAAGATGCCTCTGTCACTTTTCCCTTGGGAGAGTCAGCTCCTCAGATTTGGGGGCCGAGGGGGAATGGAGGCAGGAAAATGGCCTGTCACCTTGTGCTGTCTGCCCCCACCCCCATATGGGGACAGAAGGGCTCAGTGTGACCCTGAGGTCAGCCCAGGGCCGGGGACAGTGTGGCCTTTGTCCCCAGGCCAGGGAGCCATCTGGGGCTGTCCCCGAGCAACCGGTGCCAGGGGAAGGAGGAGACGGGCATTCAGAGATGCTGGCGTGGCTCGGGGGATGGTGAAGGGGGCACAACCCTCTTGGGAGCTTCGGGGGTAGGCAGGCAAGCTGCCCAGAAGGCCTTCCCGCCTGCCTGCCTGCCCAGGTAAGCCCATACAGTTCTCAGCCTACCTCCTGCCACTTCTTCCTGGGCACACACCTGCCGGCCCAGGACTTCCTGCTGGTGTCAGAGAAGTGGGTGGCACAGGAGCAAGGAGGAGCCAGGCCAGGAGGAAACTGATACTTGCCCAGAGGCCACCGTGCACCCAGCAAGAAAGGGCTGGAGTCCTGGAAGGTTATCAGAAGGCACTTACAGATCCACCATTCCAATCCGTTGCTGGCCCACAGAGGATGTGGAGACCCAGAGAGGAACTGGCTTGCTCAAAATCATGCAGCAATTTCCTGTTGTCAAACTCCGTGACCACATGGCTCCCTGTGTCTCCTAACTGGAATGCTCCCCACCCCACCCCCTACCTGTGGTCTAGGTCCTAAGTGCTCTTTTCTCCTCCAGGTCTCCTTCACTGCCCCCCCACAGCCCCCCCTACACACACCCCTCTCACCCCCCAAATAAAAAGCCAGAAAAATCCAAGTTCAAATTCTGGTGCTACCACTAGCAGGCTGTATGATGGCGATTAAGTTACAAAATCTCTCTTCGCTTTGGCTCTGGTCATTCATTTGACCGTTTTTTACTGAACAGCTACTACATGCCAAGAACTGTTACTGACCGTGAGAATCTTGGGAACAAAACATGCATTCCGGCCCTCACTGTACTTCTGTTCTAATGAAGGTGGGGGAGGGCAGCACAGACCACAAAATAAATAAATAAAATATACAGGCTGTTAGGTGGTGACAAGTGCAGCGGAGAAAATAAAGCAGGAAGGGGGGATGGGGTGTTAAGAGGTGAGGGCATTGCAATTTTAAACAGGGCTGTCAGGAAGGCCTCCCTGAGAAGGTGACATCTTCTTAGAAAAATTCCAAATAGGCGTGGGGAGGGAGCTAGTCATGTGGAGTCTGGGGAAGAGGTCAAGCAAGGGAACAGCAGAGCAAAGGTCCTGAGGCAGAAGCGAGTTTGGTCTAGAACAGCAGTGTGGCTGGAAAGGAGGCCAGAGGGGAGCACCGGGCGGAGCTCCAGGTCACCTTGGGGCCTCTTGGGGCTTGGGAGGGTTGGAGGAGATGAGTGATACGATCCCACCAGATTTTAATAGGCTCCCTCTGGCTGCAGCGTTGATAACAGACTGTGTGGGCAAGGGGAAAAAGCAGGGAGCTGGGGCAGGAGGCGACTCAGAGGTCCAGGAGAGAGATGGGGGTAGCTCAGGCCAGCATGGGAACAGTGGAGGTGGGAGAATCGGTGGGATTCTGGAAGGTGGAGCCAAAGGGGTTTGCAGAAGGACTGTCTATGGGCTGTGAGAAGGGGGTCAAGTGGGACTCTGAGGGTTTGGGCCTGGACATCTGAATGGAGATGCTGAGTGAGCTGACACGACACAGCACTAGTAGAAGGAAGATACCCAGAAAATATTAGCTCCCTCTTCTTTTCTTCTCTCAAGCGCCTGCTCAGACGTAAAGATGTGCCAAAAAGAGGCCCCATCTAAAGCTCATTAGACACAGATCTCCTTACAGCCCACTCAAAGGTGCTTTGAGACCCCGGCATGGAAGAGGGGTGGGAAACAGGGTACATGGTGAGCTACTGGCAGGCCTGAGCCACCGGAGGGAAAGGCCAGGCAGGTAGGGTCCCCCAACTTATACGAGACAACTCGGCAGAGCCATGCAGGTCAGAGGACCCAGTCTCCTGGCAGACAGATCTCATCCTATCCTTGGAGGGGAGAAAACTCCACACAGCAGGCCAGCCTGGCCTCCCCGCCTCCGCCGGGCCCCTCACTGGGCCTCCTGTCCCCACTCCGAGGACAACCTCTGCCAGGCTCCAGACCTGACACCTGCCCTGGGGCTGGGACACCTGGGGGGGCCCTCACCGGGAGACCACAAGGCAGAGAAGGAGGTTAGCAGAGCATCCAGGGGGGCTGGGTGGCAGCTTCCGCCTCAAGAAGTTTGGCTGCAGACGGGTGTGGAGGGGCGTGTGTCACCATCAACTTAACCTCCAGGGAGCCGGCTTGGAGACTCCTTAGCAAACGCTTATAAGGAGACCTTTGCCTTCCTCCTGAATAAAGCCCCAATTCCCAGCCTGCACCCAAGGCCCCTCAAGATCCGGGCCCCCAACCCTCTCCGGCGTTGCTCTTCCCACTCCCCACCACTCTAACTCTGCTCCAGGCCACACCCCTGTATAAAGTTCAGGTCTCAGGTCTTCAGAAGCTTCGCTGACCCCCCAGGACCACTAAGTGACCCTCCTATGGGCAGACTCCATCGGAGTGCATGATCTCACAGGACCACCGAGAGGACTTGTCATGTGCTTCCCTCACCAGGGCGCTTTGATCCTTCTGCCTGTGCTGGTGACATAGGAGTACAGCAGGCATGGCTGTCTGTTCACGGCCCATAGAGCACACGTACTACGTTCCAGGTACCCACCAGGTCCTTCTCCAATCCCTCTTTTGGTTTTGTTTTACTTTGTTTTAGATCTGTGGGCCCGGGGGCAGGGGCTGAAGGGTATAACTTCCAACTGCCCACTTTCAGAAGCCCAGACAGTCCGACCCTTAGTACCAAAGGCTGAGCACCAGCCGGGACACTTCCGATACTGTCTGCTGCCCACTCCCTGCCCCGACCTCAGTCACTCAGCCACGTCAGGCCTTTGGGCAGGATTCAAAAGCACCAGAGGCCACAGCTGACCAAGTTTGCAGACGTCATGAGCTGAGACTTCAGACACTCCCTCCTCAGAACTGTGCCTGCAGGGAGCCTGCAGATAGCATCTCCTTCATCCTCTAACTGACCCCTGCACAGCTTGAAGCTTTAGCGTCTCTAGCTTGCAACAAACCTCAGGGGAAGCCAGCCACTCTATATGGCTGCCTGGAGCTGGGAGGCAGGGACAGACGCCCTGAGCCCTCATCACTGACCTCGCCCCACCCCAGCTCCAGCCCGGATGAGAGAGATTGCCAGTCTGGGGTCTTCGGGGTGGTCAGAATCAAAGAAGACCGGCTAGGCCTGCAGTCGCCCTGCCAATGAACAGATGCTCTGGACACAGTGACGGCGCTCAGAGATTTCCAAAGCCTCAGTTTGGCACGCAAGCAGCAGGTGGGGAAGGCCTTCAGGAAGGGCTAAGGTACCGGAAGCCTGGTCAGGGGCAGAGCGTTTGGGGCTCAGGGTCAGCCCTGCAGCACCCTACCTGACAGAATGTCCTACAGGGAGGGCCGCGTGCCATCCAGGCCTGCTCTCCAAAATTCTCTGCAGTTTGGAGTCATGGAAGAAATCTCAGCTCTCCCACTGACTAGCACTGTGACCTAGGAAGACTCCTACACCTCCGTTTCCTCGTCTGCTAAATGAGGATGATACCTACCTAACCTCCCATCCAACTGCCATCAGGCTGCGAGACTGCACTTGCTCAGTGGCTTCCTGATGATGTCACTCGCCTATTCAAAACCCTTCAATAGAACACGCCCCTCAGGAAAAGGTCCAGACTCCAGGGCCCAGCAAACCAGGCCGCTTGTGTTGTGATGCCTGGGTCCTTGTCTTAGCTCTCACCCCTCCTTGGAGGGTCCAGTTTTATGGCACGTGCTTGGCATTTGCAGAGGAATCCACACTTAACGCCCCATAGCGTTGCACATGCCATTCATGTGGCCTGGGGCGCCCTTCCTCATTGCTTCCAAGGTAAAACCACTTCCAAACTCAGTGTCCTTCCTCTGAGACGTAGCACAGGACACCACCTCCTTCTAGGTAAAACGCGATGTCTCCTCGCTCCAGGGCAGCCAGTGCATGTTCGCAACTAGATGTGATGTCCTTCAGACAAGAGCAGTCAGCATCGTCTCCTCAGCGCCTTACATGGTGTCAGGAACCTCCCAGCTGCTCAGTCAGTATGTGCAGAATGAATGAACAAATGGCTCAATTAGACCTCGCTGCTATATCATAATGACTTGTGTAAGCCTCTTTTCTCTACAGATGTATAAACATTAGGCTCATGAAGGACAAAGACCTTCAGTCCCCTGAATCTCCAGGACACTCTGTCAGTCCGTGTGCAATAAATGCTGGCTGGTTCCCTTCCTTTCACTTTCAGCCAGGCCCGGCACCTGTTTCTAGGTTTATCTTCTGCGTGTCAGGCCAGCCCCACTCTTTGTAGGTAGGACTTGGGCACCACTGGGGTGGGCCTGGCCCTGCCCTCTTTGGGGGCACATCACAGCAAGCATGGGCAGCACAGTCAAGCAGCCCTACGCTCCCCAGAACGTGATTCCTCCTCGGTTCTCCTGGGTCTCAGTGCGAATTAAAACACCGGGATGTCGGGCCAGGGACTAGGGGAAAGCCGTCCAAGCGCTCACATCTTCAAGGCTCAGTCCAGGCACGACATCTTCCTAGAACCTTCTTTACTGCCCCTCATGTCTTCTCTAGCATGAAACCCTGCTGACCCCGGTCAGGCAGGGACCCTCTTCTGTGCTTCCACAGCATTCGGACATCCCCAAGCAGAGCTCTTGGCTCCTTGTCCTGTAACTGTTCACTTGTCTATTTCCCTGGTTTACCTGTGAACCTGTTAGGGGCAAGGACTGGGTCTGAGTCACCGTTACACCCAGTGCCTGACACAGGGCCTGGCACCGAGCAAACCCTCACATGATCGTCAGTGAATGTGTGAAATATATGCTGTGAATTCCTACTTCCAGGAGCTGTTTGGAGGCAAGAGGACTGACAGGAGACCGTCAGTTGTGCACTGGACTCAAAGCCTCAGCCGTAAGTAACCTTCCTTCTCCAGCCAGCTATGGGCCCCGATGGCCGTGGGGAGATGGTGGGCTGGGGCAGAGGGGGCAGCCTCCTGCCTGGCAGTACCTTCCTAACAGAGGCTTACAGAGGTCTCTGGGCTGGCCAGTGCCACACCATAGTGAGGGATGGACTAAGGATGGGAAAAATCTTACTGAGCAGTTCCAACCGAATATGCATTAAGAAGGAGCCTTCAGGACTCATGGGGAGGGAAGTTGGCAGGCCCCTGAGGCCTTCTTCATGGGCTCCCATTCCTCAGTGGCAGATTCCCAGAGACCCACAGGTCAGGTGCACTACTCAAGTTCTGACCTTGGCCTTGACCCCTACAGATGACCCCTCTTGACCCCCTGACCGCCCCACTCTTAGCTCCTCTGTGTGGGCCCCATATCAGCCCTGCTGCTACTCACTCTACTGCTCTCTGTCTTCCTAAGGCGCAGGAAATGGAGGCACATATATCATCTTCCAGCATTTTCTTTGTGACCCTATTTGGAGACCCAGCTAAAGCTGGCCTGCAATCTCTGGGGAGGCTCTGGATTTCCAAGTGATAAGATGGGACAAGGCGCCCTTCTGTCAGCTATGGTCCAGGCTGCGCAGAACATCCCAGACCAAAGGCTGAAGCAAGACCTCCCTTCCCACATATTCCTGCTTCCAGGCAAAGCCAGCCTCACTTCCCACGCAAAGGAGACCCTTTCCCACTCCTTTTAGCAACCCCTGTTAAAGACCCTCAAGGAAGGTCCCTCAGCTACCACCCAGGTGCTTTCAAAATTCCCTAGTCCAGAACTTTTTCTTAGGTCTTCCTTAAATCCCAAAGGAAAGAGCTCCATCTGTTTGCATGAGCACAGACGCTGATGCTCACCATCTTCTACAAATGAGTAGGAGGAGAAATAGAGACCATCAAGTTCACCCACTCTTTGGCTTCCCTTGTCCAGATGTACGGACCTGTCCTGGGATCCCTGTCAACATCTCTCTGGTTTTCTCACCAAGCCCAACTTTCGCAACAGAACTGCAGGGGCCTTCGAGTGCTGGTGTCCCTGGAGACCTCTGTCTCAAGAGCAGGGAGGGCAGGAGGGGAGGGTTTCCCAGCATCGCTAGACCATATTCCTATTTATACTCCACTCCCAGCCCCCACCCCACCAGTCTGGCTCACACTACCCCATGCCTGCATTCCAACCGGACCCCCGGCCAACGTTTTCCAAGATGCCTCCCTCCCACGAGGCTGGGCCCAGGCGGCCGCCTCGGCCTGGACCACCACCCCACTCCTCCCTGTCTCCAAGGCCCCCTCTGGGAAGCCTTTGGACATCTCGCAGTTGTTCAGCTGTTCTCTAAATGCCCTCGTCGGTGGCACCTGCTGCCCCGAGCTCGGGCTTCTGGAAGGGAGGTGCTGATTTCTCCCAGTCACTCTCTCATTTCACGAGTAGCTGCTCGGGGCCAGGCACCGTCCTGAGCTCTACGCCTTGTCTTCCCCTCCCTTGGCCCGTTCCCCTCCTGCTTCTTTCTCCCTCCATGTCTGGTGGATTCACTTCCTCCACCTGTCCCTGAGCGTTGGCAATCCCCAGAGTTCCCTCTTTAGCCTTTTGTTCCTCCCGCTCCTCAAACTCTTTCCGGTGACCTCATGCTCTCCAGTGGTGGAAACCACCACCCATGTGCTGATGACTCTGGCCCCACTGAGCCCAAGCCTCACACACGTGGGGCCAACTGCCAGTTGGGCACCTTTGTCTAGATGTCCCCCAAGGGCCTGAGATACTAGAATACCCTCACTGGGCCTAGGACAGGCAGAGATAGCAAACAGTTTGAGATGTGTTTTTAGGTAAAAAAGGGCAGATGTGTACAACTTGCAAAAGCTGTATGTGTGCTAGATAGACATGTGTCATAGATAGACATATACATACAAACACTGTATATAATCCAGAAAGACATTCATTAAAATGCTAATGGAGGTTATCCCTGGGGGCAGAATTGTGGGTAATTTTAAGGTCTTCTTGCTTATTTGCATCACCCAATATTTCCATAATGAACATTCATTGCTTATGTTGAAAAAAATAACACTTCTTTTCAAATGAAAAGGAAGTATTTTTAGATTGAGATTCCAGAACTGTTTAGTGCAAGCCTAGGGAGAACTATAATTATCTTGAGCAGGGGTCGGCAAATGTTTTCTGCAAAAGGCCAGATAGTCAACATTTCAGGCTTTCTGGGTCATACGGTCTCTGTAGCAATCACACAATTCTACCCTTGTAGAAAGTGCTCACGGACAGGATGGAAACGAACGAGTGTGGCTGTGTTCCAGTAAACCTTTACTCCTGGGCACTAAAATTTGAATTTTATATAATTTTCAAGTGTCACAAAATATTACTTTCTTCTATGGAATTTAAAACTGTAACACCAGTCTTAGCTCACAGGACATATGCTAAAAACAGGCTGGATCTGGCCAGGAGCCACAGTTCACCTTGCCCTTGAGCACTCAGTGCCCTAAGGCATTTGATCCAGCACCCACTCCTTTGGGAGGTGCTTTTTCTCTTCCTATCTGACTGCGGGGGCGGGGGGGGGCCTTCCCGGGGTTCCTTGCCCATCTTCTCCGTGGCAGAGACTGGCTACTGGGGCCTCAGCTGGGGGAAGCCCCTGTGTTCCAGAGTTTGGAGGAACAGAAGGCGGAGCCCCTCCCTGGGTCTCAGAGCACAGCTCACCGTGTCAGTAGGATCAGCAAAAGTAGGAACTATAAACCAGCAGTCATGGATGGGGCTTTAGAAACCTCAGGTCTGTGCCCTCGTTTTTCAGGTGAGGAAGGCAAGACTCAGAGAGAGGAGTGACCTGCCCAAGGCCACTTGGGTTGACAGGGCAGAGCTGAACCTAGGACTGAGGGCTTATGACTTTGAGTTCAGTGCCCTGTCTGCTGCCCCAGGGTTGGAGGGGACTGCAAGGACCTGCCCAGAGATGGTATTCCCTCCAGCAGGCACCATTACCAGGGAAATCAGCAGTCCACTCAAGGGCCACCTTGCACAGGGAAGGAATCATATCAAATCTGGCATCAATCCAGAATGTGGCACCCAGCCCAGCAGTGGGGGGGCGGGGAGAGAGGGCCTTCATGCCAGGAACAGGGAATGGCTCTGGGACCCTTTCTTGGCTTAATTCCATGTCCTGCTGGCAGAGGTGGTCTGGAGACCCAGCACTGCCGAATTCATGAGAGATACCCTCCAGCACAGGACCTACCACCTACCTGCTCCCGAGTACTGGATCCTGCCAAGACCTGGAGATGAACGGCCATGTCGACCTCCTGGGCTTGGTCACCCAGCAAGGGTCTCCTCTGCTGGATGGCTAAGGCCAAAGGAGAGAAGCAGCACTGGTTCTGGAGGGGGTCCCCAAAGGCAAGGAAAGGAAGGCTTCTTTAGGGAAGCAAGGAGTGAGGATAGATGGTTCTGGAGCTCTGTCCGAATGTTTCATGATAATGATAAAATGCAGAGGGTGCTCAAGGTGAGGAAGGGTAGAAACGGTTTAAGAACACACCTTTCTTCCCAATTTGGGGCCTGAGCCCTGGTTTCTGCAGGGATCGAGCAGAGGCCAGGGTACTGAGAACTGTCAAATGTGGCCTACTAACTCCATCTGCCACCACCTCTCAAGGATCACACCAGGTAAGGAAAAAAGCTAAGATAAAGCTGGGGGTTATCTCATTGGAACCCTCACAGCCACATGAAGTAACACCATTGCTCTCCCCATTTTCTAACCGAGGAAACTGAAACATGGGCAAGCAAATTCCTTCACCTATGCGACCGCTTACTGAATGGCGGAAGCCGGATTTGAACTGACCCCAAAGTCTATACACGGCCTCCACCCATGGTGGACAGGAGACACACGCTCAACATGTACAGAATGATTAACAGTCACCTAGTCTATCCCCACCCCTCCATTTCCAGGGAAGACTTTATTTAATGTCAGTAGGGTGGGTCAGGAGCACAGGATGAGACCATCATCCAGAGTTCCAAGAAAGGGGGTCTCACCACTGTCCCTTCAGAAGTTCCGGCCAATGTCTCTGAGACCAGGGTGTTCTGTCTCACCAGGGCCACTCATGCGGTCAGGCAGCATCAAGACCCTTTTCGGTTCAAAGCCAA